TGAAATAGTCTTCCCAACCTCCAACTTTGCCTGTAAATATTTAGCAGGCGTTAATTTTATTACGATTATGATTTCAGACATTTATCTAGTTATATTTTCATTAAAATTATGAACGGTTGAACTACGGAATTTGGGCAAGGCATTGAAAGATCTTTTTATTTAATTTATACTCAACTAATTTAAAACTAACTTAAATTTCCATCAAAAACGTAAATTTATAGCCAATATTTACTTTAAATGTGTACACGACTTCACCGCAATGGACGAGATCTATATGGTTGCCAATTATAATGTACGCGCGAGGGTAATTTCAGCTACAAAAGCAAATTATGATCAATTTCATTTATGGTGATTGTGTAGTAGCTGTGAAGGCGTGAAAAGCAGCTCGAAATGGTTGCCAAAACTTGTAATTGACTTGTGGACCATAAATCTTAAGAATAGCACATGTAATGGTGGTCTCTGGCAGAATGAAAGTGGAACACGTTTGCTCCACAGCATAATGCTGAGCCAGGGCCAGTTACTACCACAACACACACACATTACTCACTAAAAATGTACAGGCCTTTTTTTTTTTCTTTCCATAATTTTGTATTTTTCTTTTTTGATTATTATTATTACTATTGTGTGTAAGTGGTCGTTAGTAATAAATGTTATGTATGTCTGTCTGTAATGTTTAAAAATTACCTCTCCTTATAAAAGCGCAGTCACTATCATTAATAACGTCAAATGTTTTCAATACAGTTTGTTCACCATTGACTGACTTATTTGTCTTGAATTTGTCAAAACTGAGGTGCTCACAGAGACCACGGATTTGTTCTTCCGAGTATTTCTTACCGAAAAACTCAGACATTTGGCGAAGAGTCGAAGCCAAGTCCTGATAATAAATTAATTAGTGTTATTAGAGTATTAGTGAAGTCCTCTATAGTCTATTTTTGTTTATGCTACTTTAAAGAGACAGAGACAAGTTTAGGGTTTAAAATTTGGTTGCTTAGATTTCACTGTTTCCATTTAATTTATAAATCATGGCAGCGACTTTAGTAATATGGCATTTTAAAGTAAAAATTGTATTTACTAATTTGGATAAATTAAATCTTTGTAATTTTGTTTTGAACGAACAATTATTGTATTTAAAATATTGTATTTTTAGTTGGGCTTTGAACATAACTCGCTGCGAATTATAAAAATTTACTTACTTTTGACATATCTTCGTAGGTGAGGAAAACCATATTAGGATGATCTCTTTGTCCCCAGGCTTCTTTAATGTGTTCAAATATTGGTGTTAGAAGGACTAAATTAAAAAAAAATATTAAGTGTGCAATGTTTACTTCGAGGTTAGAATGTTACGTAAAGGTTAAAATATATTCATGTAAGTAAGTTCTACACTTATGAACGTAAATAACGATTTCAATTTACTGTAATATAACGTTTAAAATACCAGTCGAATTTAGAATACCAGTGAAATCGTTATCCTTTGAAGTCAGATACAAACAACAGAGGAATTATATTATGCTCTTTTTATGCAGTATAAGTGTCGCAGCCAACTAGCTTAATAAGCCGTTCAATTAACAGCTTCCTTTTAACTAGGGTGAAATATAATGGCTAAATATCTTTCACACCGCTAGTTAAACGGCACTGTTTTGTTAAGAGGCTATGCTGTGGATTGAACGGCGGATTAAGCTAGTTGGCTGCGACATAAGCATTGACTGGCCGGTGGCCCGAAGGCCCCAGTGGCAAACGATGAGAAGTCTTTAGCGGTCGGAATAACCGATTTGGGTATGATCTCATTGTACTGTTTGGAAACAAGAACTATTAAGGTTACTCTATGGCACGTTTAGCTTGTTTCTGATTTAAAAAGTCAAAATCATTTATTCATATAGGTAACGCAATGTACACTTATGAACGTCAAAAAAAAAATATATATATATGAAATGCACCAATACAAATTTTACATTTACTGCCAGTTCTCAAATCAAGGGCGCAAAACGGAAGAGAAGAACTGGCAATAAACTCTCCGCCACTATTTGGTTATAGCTAGCCCGTCGTTCCTTTAACCAATAGTAATGAAATGAAACGCGTCATGATTCATGTTTTGTTTAACACTAATAAATGACAAAACACTTACTCTTGTCATCTCGGAACGCAGCCCAAAACTTCTCAAACCCAATGTCATTAGGAAGTACGCGTTTCATAAGGTAATAGTAGGATACTGCTACATCTCGCGGATCTCGTGCTATGTATACGACCTGAAAAACAGATAACAATTTCGACTTTTTAAAGAACAATTCAAAAGGAGCAATGTCTTTTAAAATATTACAAATGAAACTTTAGAACTGAATTAATATTGTAGAAGACTTGTCTTAGTTGAATTACTTTTAATCAATACGATCCCCTTAAAAGACTATGATGTTTTCTCTTACCACTTCATTAAAGTTAGTGGTGCTTGTAACCCTTCTGCGTTTGCTAGAGCACTCATTGTGGCTGTAAGCGGCGGATCGCCTTTCATTTTTGAAGTTATACTTCTTTTGGTACGTAAGGGAGAAATGATGAAAGTAAATTTTTACGAAGCGCGCGCACACCGTCACAAAAAACCGACACTTTGAAGTTAGCTATAGCCAACATTTTAGTTTTTTTGTAGTTATTCTTCTTTTGGTGCGTTAGAGGGAAATGATGAGTGTAAATTTTTCTATTGTTAGTGTCGTTTTTTCTAGAAACGTAGAATAAGGCGAAAAATAATTGTTTTTAAAGATTTTTATCTTGTTACACCAAAGAAGTATAACTTCTAACGCGTGTACATAAGTACACACACGTTTTTTTAAATAAAACTAAAGATGGTGTTAAAATACCTTGGTGGTATCGAGAAGGTTCGGCGGCAAAAGTGAGAGCGGTAAGTGAGATTTTATGAATCTCGGTGAAGGTGCATTTGGTAGCGATTTCAGAGGTGATATCATCTTTTTCAATAAATGATTTGTTCCCGCATCTTGAAACTCACTATTTTCAGAGGAAAAAGCAGTAGGAAACTGCACCTCTAAGCTGTAAAGTGTCAAAATAGCACATTAATATTTAGTGGCGCTACAATAGTTAAGTTTTTTTACAAGAGAACAGCGCAAGCTTAGATGATATTTTGTTTATGCGTATTTCAGTTGCTCGTGGACTTTCATACACGAAAGGAATATAAGTTTATTAAATACTTAGGGTCTGTTTCACAATGTACGGATAAGTTCTACATAAGTTCCAAATATTTCTTGGTAGAAAACACTATTGTTGATTTCACGACTGTCAGATAGCCTATTTGTCAATAAAGTCCATCATAAGTTATGAGTCCGATGAATTCAAATAGCAAATTTATATTCCAATAATTTATTGATAGTATTGGTACTTTATCCAATTGAAAAGACCCTTAGAGCAATCAAAAGACATAAGCGTGTTGATGTAACAATAATGATGTGGCGGCGATGACAGAAAAGCAGACCGCAGGGCAAGTGAAATGCGGCGTAAAACATGGAAACACTCACTATTAGTCCTCCATCTCTTCACTTGTCTGATGTCTCCATGGGAGAAGACCATAAAATAAAAGCGTAAACACAAGCGCAAAAGCAACAAAAAGCGTGACCTCGCGTCGACGTTTGCAATTCTTCTTTCCAGCGTGGGAGCATGTAGAACGGTCCTCCTTCACAGCATGGCAAGAGAAGTGGTGTTTAAGTAATGGGTGCGATAAGGACAGAAAATGAAATGGTAAATGAATGAACAGAGAGGATGATAGGTACTTGGATGGCGTGAGCAATCACTTTAAAATAATATGACGAAACTATGTAATATAAGTACGTACTCCAGGAACGGGCATCGGTCATCTATAACAATTGATTTAGACTTATCATAGTCCAAGTTGTTGTTTATAAGCCATATTGACTCCTGACACCTCGTTGTTCCTTGAAAATTTAAACATTTCTTATTAGATATATTTATATGTCCAACATTATGAGGTGCCTGTATAGAACCTTTTTTTCAATGTTCACAGGCACAATGTAAAAAAAATCTTTGTTTTAGCTTTGCTTAGATAACTAAAAAAATAAATCAGTGGCGCTATAACCTCTTTAGGTCTAGGCCTCAGATTTCTGAATCTGTAATTAAATTCTGATTCTGAAATAAAAATGACCCGTAGAACACATACATTGGTTGATAACTGGTTTAAGTGAAGTTTGACGTAGGAAAGTGGAATCATGGAAACAAAGTTGGATCAGGCATTTGCCAAAGGTGCAGAAACTATTTGTGTCTGTAATAGACAAGGTGATCAGCCTTCTGTACCTGACTATTTAGGTCTAAAAGCATGTTGGTTTCCTTCGTCGTACGAGCGAGTGTTAAATTACAGACAGTCAATCCACTGGTACACGGGAATCGAACCTACTACCTCAGGAATGAGAATATCAAGCCAACACATGCATTGGATTAAAATTAAAAAAATTGTTTCAGTCTTCTTCGAGTTTTGCGATTTATTTTTATTTATGTATACACAATCTTTACCATAACCACATAAGATATAAATATGGATTATTTAATTAAAGCAATCAGTGAAAATCTGTTATAACGACATCGAAGGGACTACTCATATTTGGTTCTTAAAAACCGATAGTCGTAACAGCCGATGACTTTGTTATATGAACCTAATACAATAGAAATTAGAATTCAGCCGGGACCTTTGACTTTGGTCAATATAAATTTTAAACGATGTCGTCGTAAACGGTTTTGACTGTATTATTATAGTATGATGTTGTAGTAGTTTATGCGCAGTTAATATTATCTCAGTCTACAGTAACGATTATGAAATGATACGAGCGTATGGCACTTATAGGTGCTTGAGTTTATCTTGAAATACTCCATACCAGTGCTTCTCGACCTTGTTTGTGCCATGCCCCACCTTAGCCTTATTAAAATTTTAATGCTTTTACAAAGTAACTTTTAATTTGATATTTACCTCAGATCTACCGCGTACCTCTGAAGTCAATATTGCAACCTATGCAGACGATACGGCAATTCTAGCTTCGAGTAAAAAACCCGAAGAAGCCACGTTAAAGCTGCAGCGAAGCCTAAATGAAATAAGCAACTGGTTCGATAGGTGGAAAATTAGGGTGAACACTAGCAAATCAGTATAAGTGACATTCACACTGCGAAGAAAGACATACCCTCCTGTAAACCTAGGAGGAAAGGAACTGCCTCAGAGTGACACAGTTAAATATCTTGGACTGCACTTGGACCGTAGATTGACATGGCAAAAACACATCGAAACAAAACGGCGTGAAATCAACATTAAATATAAGAGGCTGTACTGGTTACGGGGGGTAAACTCGAAACTGTCCATCGACAACAAACTCCTTATCTACAATTCTGTCATAAAACCCGTGTGGACCTACGGAATACAATTGTGGGGAGCTACATGTGACTCTAACAAAACTAAAATTCAAAGAACTCAAAACTACATCCTTAAACAAATAAGCAACTCGCCTTGGTTCATAAGAAACGCCGAAGTACATGAACACCTGGGCATACCTACAGCCAAGGAGGAAATAAAAGTATACGGTCAGAAGTACTAGACTAGGCTGGAAAATCATCCTAACCATCTAGCTGTTCAACTAACCGGAGTATATAAACCGACTCAAAAGACGAAGAACCCTGGAGCTCAGCAGCATTGACTGAGCTAATATTATTATGGAAGATATTCCTAATGAGGAATATCTCCACCCGCAAATCATCCTACAACTCATCTGCTCATAGTCAAAAGACTGATTGCACGATTCTAATTCAAACTCTGTTTTAAATATGCCACAATCACAAAGTATGAAATTGGCATTTTAAGACGTTCATAACTAAAGGCTAAATAAGTGTCCATGGGCGGCGGTATCACTTAACATCAGGTGAGCCTCATGCCCGTTTGCCCCCTATTGCGTACAAAAAATAACCTTAGTTATGAGAATCTCAAATTTACCAGATCGAGGAAATCCGAGTAAGAACACGTCATCCGGACGAAGGTCAAAGTTGTAAAATTTCGATGCCAGGTCCCTGTATGTACTAGAGACCACATAGCGCTTAGGCCCCACTCTTACCGAGTCCCACGCTGAAAAATATAAACGAAACTATGATTTTAAGTTTATTGTGGGCTTAATGACTGCTTAGAGGCGGAAAAGTCCCAAAGATGCAAGAAATTTAAAAAAAGTTTTAGCACAAATCGTAATTTTGTTTATAGTCTAGAAAACTTGTCTCTTCTCAAAAGAGCCCATTTGAAGCCCGATTAAAAATAAAAATAAAAATTATAATTTTAACATGTTAGTTACTTAAATCAAAGTCAACTAAATCTACGCTTTTCTTAGATGTGTAGTCCACTGTAACACACACCAATACATCGATCCAGACCCAACTCCGCATACGGACTCGCCTGTCGACCATATTCCTTCTGCGAATCTTATTTCGGCCATGCGCACAGGCGATGAGAACTTGTAGAAACTGATCGTGGTTGGTAACACAGAACGCAAAAGCTCACGTGGTCGTTCACCAACCAGATGGACCGATCAAGTGAAAGACTCATTGTCCTCAAAACTGTACAGTAAGAGAGGCGCTGGACAGAAACCGTTGGAAACAAATAGTCCGCTCTAGATGCTTCCTTGCTGACCACGACGCTAAGACATGAGCTGCCGATTAAAGAGTCCACGGCAACTTCAAATAAATGAATTGTTCTTAAAAAAAATACTATATCTGCATCGCTTTGTCTATGTTTCTTTTCATCACAGCGTAAACACAATTTGACAGAGACAAAAGAGTAAGTTAGTAAAAAAATGCAATTCGACTAATTTAGTTTTTATGAATAAAAAAAAAGAATACAAAATAAAACTTACGGCTACCATCTTTAAAGTTTTCTATTTCGTAAGGAAATCTGTACTTCTCCATTGGTGTTTAATTGATACTGAGCTATTGAAGATAAATTACGTTAATTGTTTAGACTTATCTATTTATATATAAGTCTAAACAATTAACGTTATATTGTATGTATTACTTATATTATTAGAGATATGTATTTATAGCCTCGGTTGTCTTGCAAATAAATAATTTAATATTTAAGGAATCGAGGAAATCCTAGTAAGATTCTGGACGAAGCTCAAAGATCTCTGTATGTATGAGAATACATTTACCATTTACCAGACACAATTACCGAGTCCCATGCTGAAAATAATATAAAAAATCAATATATATTTTCGCGCCATATAAACAATCAGCGCACCTTTTTTGGTCTGGGCCTCAGATTTCTGTATGTGTTTCATGATCATTTGTTAATCTAATAGGCAAGTAGGTGATCAGCCTCATGTGCTTGACGCACGCCGTCGACTTTTTGGGTCTAAGACAAGCCGGTTTCCTCACGATTTCCTTCTCCGTTCAAGCGAATGTTAATGGGCACATAAGAAAGTTCAAAGCACACCCGATGATCGAACCTACGACGTCAGGGACGGGGGTCGCACGCTGAAGCCACTAGGCCAACCCTGCTCTGGCGCCATATACATTTCTTAAAAGCGGCAACGCACTCCGCATTGTGTGTATCCATAGAAAGCGGCATCTTAACATCCTCTAACTCTATACACAACGAATTTTAATTCTTATTTTCTAAATGTCAGTATATTATATTTGTGAAATAGCTGATGCGGACCCTGTCTGTAATTTGAGGTTCATACCGAAGTCATAACAAACTTAGAAGATAATTTTCGTAAATACAATTTTAATAAACACAAATATAATAATAATACGAGTAGATAGCCATACGTTAATCAACATAAAAAGTAAATTGAACAACTATTTTTAAATGCATTTGTCGCGTTCCTAAACAATACTGCTATGGTTTAATTTATACAAACCACAACGGTTATACAACCACATTACGACTTTATTGTATTATTCTGTAATATAAATAAATTAAAAAATCATATATAAACATTTCAATGCAAGGACTCACATTCCAAACAGTTGTTACATATTTACGACGTAATTGGACGACGATAAACGTTAATTGCACTTCAAGAAATGAACGCTAGCTATAACAGAGGCGTTTTCATGTTAGTTATCGGAAATGCAATATTAAAGAAACCAAACATTCAACACGCCACACCCGTGATTGGAGGCTGGTTACCTATTCCGTATTCGTCAGCGGCGTGATGCTCACGTTCTCCATCTCTTATATATTCTACAACTCTTTCTCACTTAAAAAAATTCAAATTTATGGGAGCCCACAGCGAAAACTATATCCTCGAAATCCCATCTCATAACTCTTCTTTTCTTGGTTTGTCTCCGCAGTGAGGCCAAGGAATTCACTTATCGTCCCAGTCCGCGTAGCTCCTCTGTCTTTCTTTAAATCTGTGCAAGCATTACCTGTCTACATCGTATCCCTAACTTTTGTACTTACTGGTCCAAAATTATCGTGATTCATGTGCCCTTTTTTATTATCCCTTTCACTGTTTACATATGTTTTAATTGTTTTGTTCCATTAGTTTAGTTTAAGTAGTTTTAGGTCTTATGTATTTGCACTTCTTGCGCTCACCTTATCCAATATTTTTCTCACAGTTACCTGTGTTGGTTACCTGAAAGAGGTCGCTGGAAAGCGATAAGTCAGCCGCCAGTGGCCTTCCACAACGAAATGTAAAGAAATAAAACTTATCAATAGTTTATTCAGTCCATAGCATAAGTATTCTTCATGCTCCTGGTATCTCTTTTTATATCAGCTGATGTTATGTGATACTGCCGCCCATAGACACTCATATTTAGGAGATTTGCGATACCAAGGGCAAGAACCAGTATGTTGCACAGATCCCCGTTATTAAAGACGTTGCCCCAACTGAATGCATTCTCCGACACTATCGATATATTTATATGTTCGCAGAGTGAATTCACATTAGCGATATTGTGTATATTATGTGTTTAATATTATATAAGTACTGTATTATATTTCATTTAAAGTTTCTCGACATTATTGTATTGGCATAGTCTGTAAGGATAATGTATGTATTTCTGTAATAAATAACTAAATAAATAAATACATAAATAAATATTGCCAAAAGGCTCACAAGTGTGTTGCCTTTTAAGAATTGGTACTCTGCAAGATCCCTTAGTCTAATAGGTTCGGAAGAACTGTCTTAAGGAACGCTCAGTTGTTGAACGATGAACGTCGATGTGATGATTGTTAAATTGGGAATTTAGCTCTTAATAGACTGAAAGTAGGGATGAATAAAAAATATTTATGTTGATAATACGTTTATTTTTAATACAATATCACAAATATTTAAACATTATGTATATTAAATTACAAAAGGCAAGTCGGTGCCGGCAAGGTTTTCAGCCATCCATTGCTCAGCATTTATTTTTAACTCGTCACTGAAATAATCTTCCCAACCCCCGATCTTACCTGGAAATACGTGATACTTCTTATCAATGTAGGTTTAACACACAAAAATGCAAGTTAGATGGTTCTTTTACTACGTTTGATAAATTTTATGTTTAAAAATACAAAACCGATTTTATAGAACTACTAGCTGACCCGGCAAACGTTGTTTAGCCATATGTATATTATTTCTAGGAAACAGTTTTTTAGTTCAATAAAAATGACAACTACCATAATAAAAAATAGGGGTTGATCATAGAGGGGTGAAAATTAGGGGTTGTTTGTATTTTTGTATGCTGTATCATAAAAAAAATAGAAACATAAAAATTAAAAAAAAAAATTGTGGTGGACATCCCTTATCACTTAGGGGTTTGAAAGCTAGATAGTAGCCGATTCTACTATTTGACTTTATAAATAATTTCATAAGAATAGGTCGAGCCGTTTCGTTAGAGTATGGAAACCAACATTGTGACACGGGAATTTTATATATATAGAGATAGGTACTTTTAATAAAATTGCTAAGAAATACCTCTTCTTATAAAGGAATTGGCTCCATCATTGATAACGCCGTATGTTTTCAGTAAAGTTTGTTCGCCATTGACTGATTTATTTGACTTGAAATTGTCAAAACTGAGATGCTGGCTCAGACCACGGATCTGTTCCTTCGTGTATTTCTTACCGAAGAACTCGGACATTTCTCGAAGAGTTGAAGGCAGATCCTATGAGAAAGTAAATCTATTAAATTCACTATTAACTAACCAAAAAGCACTATTATTATGACAAAGACCATGTATGCATACTTTTTTACATATTCCAATTCAAATTCATTCATAAATCGCTAAGATTATCATAAGCCGTCGACAAAGATTTGATAGAGAATGACGAAAAATATTTTTAACCGACTCCAAGAAAGGATCATGAAACAGATACAGAAATCTGAGGCCCAGATCTAAAAAGGTCGTAGCTCCACTGGTTATTATTATTAAATACTGTAGATAAGCATTTCGGGTAAAAAGTTCTTAAAGCGTAAAATAAAATCCTTTAGTTACCCCTCGATAAATTACTAATTACTATTATCAAACTTAAAATAATATGTATAGTCTATATTTACCATTTTTACTTAAATAAAAACAGTAGATAATAATTAATTATTATTTTATCAAATTCAAAATTCAAAATCATTTATTCATAATCAATAATTTAATCATCATAGATAACAAAATGTACACTTATGAACGTCAAAAAAGAAATATATATGTGAAATACTTCTAATTTTTTTATATTTACTGCCAGTTCTCAAATCAAGGGCGTAGAACGGAAGTAAAGAAGTGGCAATAAACTCTCCGCCACTCTTTTTAATCGCCAAATTTTTTGTTTTACACAACGTTTGTAAGGAGCTGCAACCATTACACCATGTTCCACATGACATCTTAAGTAATTAATAATAATAAAATAAATTAAAAACAAAGATTTGTCCTCTATCAGCAGGAGGCATGGTAATAATAAAAAATTACTCACTTTTGTCATGTCTTCGTAAGTCAGGAAGAAGAGATTAGGATGATTTCTTTGTTCCCAAGCTTCCTTGATGTGCTCAAATATCGGTGTCAGAATAACTGAAAATTTGTACTATGATAAAAATAAAATAAAAAAGTCTTTAAGGCTTAGCTTACATGCTAAATTTAAAGTGAATGTGCCTAAAGTAATAGAATATTTAATGAAGTGAAACTTCTTGAGTAAAAATGAGGGTAAAATTTTGACAGAACGTCACGAAAATGTGCAGCGACAAAAAGTCGAAGAAAAGGGAGAGAGCGATTGAGACTGATTGAGAGAACCGAAAAATTTAAATTTCGTAAAGAGAATTTATGAAATATTACTATTTTATATTTTATGCAAAATTAATTTTTTTTTATTGAAATCTAAAATGACGAATTGTAAATTACAATGCCACGTGTTTTATTATCGAAGAAATAAATTTATAATTTTCGACACTTTTAATATTTTAATGACAATTAAATTCCTAACATATCTTCCTTCTTCCCTCCCTCTAAGTCTCGGAAATCTAAAGTTTTACATTTGTATAAATTGAACAAGACTTAAAAAATTGTTTGCCAAAGAAGTTTTACTTCTGACATGTGTACTTTGTACGCACGCACTTTTTTTTATCTATCGGCAAACATTTATTTATTAACAGCTTGTCTTTCAAGTAAGCCTTCCTGTAATTGTTCCAATCGTGGCGTTCTCTAGCGGTTCGAATCCACATCGGACCCTCTACTTATTTATATCGTCCTCCCATATTCTTATCAGTCTGTCTCTCTTTCGTTTCCCACTTCGTGAGTACTACTCCGTTACAATTGTGTTCAAAATAGGCACTATTAGTAATTAAATTTTAAAACTAACTACGAATTTTGTCAAATGCGGTAAGATTTATGGAATTTAAATGTCTGCTATATTTTTGTTCTTCAGATGGATCTTTAACAGAGGAATAATACGAACAGAGAGAAGCTTTCGTTAGGAGTATTTAACGAATTTACGAATATAATTATGCAGTGGCGTAACAATAGGGTGGCAGGGCTGGCAAAATGCCACAGTCCCCCGACACAAGAGGGCCCCTGCCCAAGAGAAATTATGTTCTATAGATGAATGTAAAGTCTCTAATACGTATTGGGCTAGCGTGGGGACTACAGACCAATTCCTCTCGCCTAAGAGAGGAGGAATATGGCCATTAGTAGGACATATACAACGTGTAATTGAGTACGCTGAAATCTCGAAATTTATTAAAATTAAACTGAGTACAACGTGACGATTTTTACTGATAGGGCCCCATTAAATTTGCCACGGGCCCCAGATGGTATAGTTACGCCACAATTGGTGTCAACCTCTCAGGTTGGGCCCAGTTGGGATTGTGATTAAAAGTGAGATTGGCGCTCTGAACTCGCCAATGACGATTTAAATATCATAATACATTTATAATAGTAACGATATTTCTCCGACATATAATATCTAATCTAGCAGCTAATAGCTGTGATGACCTAATTTACGGTATCCGATAGACATGTATACGTAAAAATTTATATGACTCAAAACTTAGCGATTAAAAAGAGTGGCGGAAAGTTTCTTGATAGTTCTTCTTGCCCGCTCTACGCCCTTGACTTGCGAACTGGTAGTAAATGTAAATTTACAATTAAATAATTTTTTTTGACGTTCATAAGTGTACTTGTTTACCTATATGAATAAAGATATTTTGAGTTTGAGTTAACGTTAACATACAACTATCAATAGTCAACTGAATATAGACAGTATGTCTAGTGCAATCATAGACACGAGAAACCGGGCTTTTATTTGACAAATAACAAACGACTCCTGTCATCGTTTAGTCTTTAAAGTTAAATTTTCATCCTCAAACAACCGCCATTTTAATAATTGCCACAACATAAAATCCATTAGAAGTTGAAATAAGAGAACTTACTTTCGCCATTTCGAAAATCATTCCAATACTGTTCGAAATCAATGTCTTTAAACAATTTAAGTTTTAAAATGTTGTAATACGATACGGCTACGTCCCTTGGATCTCTCGCCAAGTAGACAACCTGGAAAATACATTATAATTAGCATTATCACATCAAACAATTAAATTTAGATGAACTGTAGCTATACAAATATTGAGCAGTTGTGTTCGTCTATATAGGTAAACTCGTATGAGAAGTATATATTTAAAAAAAAAAATGTTTATTTCAACACAAGGTGTCGTTGTATTCAATCTTTTGTAATGAAATACTAAATATTTTGGTAATAAAGTAATCAAAAGAATATGATTTGGATGTATTGGTAGAATTTAATTGATTTCTAGTGTATATAAGAAATACCTTTGTTGTATCAAGAAGAGAAGGTGGTAACAGAGTGAGTGGCATGTGGCTTTTTATGAACCTAGGTGATGTAGCTTTCGGAAGAGATTTTAATGGTGCAGATTTTTCTAATAGGTCATCTTCTAGATTATTTTCAGATACCGAAAGAGTAGAATACTGTATCTCTAACCTGTGAAGTTTAAATATTAGGTATATTAAATAAAAATGAGCGTTTTAAGGCAGTTTTTACCGCGCACCACCACATTCGACTTAGTCCTTAAGAAAAGAGCGTACCAATTCTTAAAAGTCCGGCAACGCACTTGCGAGCTCTCAGGCATTGAGAGTTTCCATGGGCGGCGGTATCACTTTTATACACGATACATATTATGCAATCTTCAATTCTCCGTCTAATACATAAAATTGGAATTAAAAAGGAGAGTGTAGGAAAACTGAATGGCGCTAAAGCTGACAGATTATATTAAAATACCATAGAAATAGTTTCCTTTAAAAAACCGAAGTTGTCCATTAAGCAGTGTTCTGTGTTGGCCTAGTGGCTTCAGCGTGCGACTCTCATCACTGAGATCGTAGGTTCGATCACCAGCAGTGCATCAATGGACTTTCTTTCTATGTGCGCATTTAAAATTTTCTCGAAGGGTGGAGGAAAACATCGTGACGAAACCGGCTTGCCATCGACACCGTGCTGTTCACCTACCTTGCCTATTACATTAACAAATGATCATGAAACAGTTACAGAAATCTGAGCCCCAGACCTGAAAAGGTTGTGGCGCCTCTGATATATTTTTTTAAATAGTTATCTATTAAGGTTTTACAATAGACAAAAGAAGGGTTTATTAAGAACAATAAATGAAGCCGCTATCTGCCGTAGATATTTGATCTGTAAATCTATGCTTTCCTGATTCGCAATGTCACGTAAAAATAAACAATAGGAGTTTAATAGTTTGATGAAAAAGTATATGTACTTACTCTAATAGAGGACACCTGTCATCGATAACAGCTGATTGTGCCTTTTCGTAATCTAAATTATTATTTAACAGCCATATTGCCTCCTGACACCTTGTTGTACCTGGAGTGTGAATAAAAATGATTTGTCAAGGAAATAATAAATATGTATCTGCAAGAATATTGTTAAAAAATATTATTATAATTCTTCTATTGAACTATGGTGATCGAATTATGGTGGTACAATCTAAATTTTGCATATCTACTACACATATAGTAGCGTGCAAATTTATCTTAATTACTTACTTATTTGTCTTAAATTAAGAGGTAGAATTTGACGTAGTTTATTACGTATTCAAAAAAAAATCAAAAATAATTTAATCATATAGGTAACATTGTACACTTATGACTTGTCAGTAAACAAATACATATTAATGCGTCTAATTTTACATTTAGTGCCAGTTCTCAAATCAAGGGCGTAGAACGGAAGACAAGAACTGGCAATAAACTCTCCGCCACTCTTTTTAATCGCCATGTTTTTTTACACGTTTGTAAGGAGCTGCAACCATTAAACCATGTTCCACATGACATCTTCAGTAATTAATAATAATAAAATAAATTAAAAACGAAGAGTTGTCCTCTATCAGCAGGAGGCATGGTGAAATAGGAGCACGCACTTACATTCTCGTGGGAACAACACGCAAACACATAGTCGAAATAATTAACATCACCGCATACACGAATCCAAGTACGACCAGTCATATTACATCATCAAAGTCAATTATTATATTATTTTATCACTACCTCATCATATTATTAAAATACTTTTACATTATCAATTTAACATAAATTATGTGTCACTTAAATAATCATTATTAGAATAATATCTTTTTCAAAAGTAGTATATTAGTCGTATTTATTTTTAAGCTCTAGGTCTAGTAGGAAGATCTTTGACTGTTTTTGGTAAATTATTATAAACCTTGATTGCAGTACAAGTGTTTTTACTATACAATTACAGTTTAATTTTTGACGTTACCATTTCTCCCCATGTTAACGTCAACAATGGCAACGGGAATAGCAGTTGTCTACTTAATGTTTTTTATGTGATAAAAAATAATTTGAGAAAGTCATTTTTTATTTGGAACGTAAATAATATGTATTTTAATGTCTGCTTCAGTTCTTTTGTGCCAAGCCGAAGCAACTATAATTTGGCCCAGAAACGACCCGATACTTGGAATAATATATCTTTCCGTACATCTAATCTAATATGTAATTAGTCTTTAAATCTGCGAATCATGATTATTTAATATCATATATATGATAATTTAATTCAATTTCAATATTTGATAAGATCATGTCTCTATGTGACTCATTTTCAATGCTATAATTAAATTACTCGAAATATAATACATTACCTATTTTTACTTAGAAGATAACACATAACAATTGCAACACATTTATATATTCCACAATTTCTAATTACCTCTAAAACGACTTGTTCTATACAAAGTTAAAAACGACATTCTTCCCAAACAATACTAGTGCAAAGGTTGCTAAAAACCCTGGTTTTTGGTGTAAACTAACAATTTTTCAGTAATACGATTACTAAATCACGATTACGATTAAAAAATCGTCAGTTTACACTACTAAACTTTATATTTTTATTTCAGTAATATAATGTTATCGGTTTTAACTCATATATCTATGATTATCAACTAAATTTGTTTGTCTAGACTTGGGTTAGAAGTCTAATTTTATAATTAAATGTTTAATAGGACTTACTATAATGCTATTAAATTAATAAAACAATAGATCTATCAATTACTTCCGGTGTATAGTCGCACGTGGTAGAAACCTTTAGGCGAAAAATAGGCGAATTTTTAAGCTAAGTATCAATTATTAATTTGATAAAAACTACAATGATTTAAAAAGTTTTATAATTAATAATATGAAAATTAGACTATTTTTACTATCTAAATGTAGTAGTAGTAGACTTTTACTTACTACTTTAAAATTTAATAATATCAATGTTTAATTTAGATAAAAAGTTTGAAAGTCCATGAAACGAAAAAGCGACACTAAAGAGACAGACACATACTCGTATTATATTAAAAAGATTTAACACGGAAGAACATGAGATAGGAAGCATTATACAGTGTATTAACTTTAAATTAGTGTAGTAAGAAGTTTTCACTTCAAAAACTATTACATGTATTTATACTACACTTAATGTATTTTTCTAATATACCATACCAAAGAATATAATATTGAAAATTGTCACTTGTTTTGTTCTTTTAGTGACTCAAATCTTCGATCAACGTAAAGAATAAAGTTTATATCCGTTATAAGTTTTATTGAAACGAAAATGTCTTTTTACGTGGAACATATTATGTCGTAATAGTTGTGAATTTTTATAATGTGCTTGTACCTGATCGGGGAAATCCTAATAAGAATATATCATCTGGGCGGAGTTCGAAATTGTAATATTGTGAAGCCAGCTCTTTATATACACCTGGGAATACATAGCGTTTAGGTCCAACTTGCACCAGCTCTCGGGTACAGTCTGAAAATGAAAAAAACGTGTAATTATGGATATATGTTTCACTGTTTGGATAGCGATAAAACAGTTTTATGATAATAGTTATTTTTCACAGTGGTTGCCTGGAAGAGATCGCTCGAAAGCGATAAGGCCGCCAGTTGCCCTCCTTTTCATTTAATTATGTTCAATTTTTATTATGTTAATGCAACGAAGTGTGAATAAATAAATAAATAATGTGATTAGTACTAGATGACTGACAAAACACTGCGATTTATGAGCGATGCTCCATGGTCGATACGAAATGCTGAACTTCATAAATATTTGGAAATTATCTCTGTCGAGGAAGACATTAAAAGATCAACCTACCAACACAAAAGGAGACTTCAGTCAACACGTCAACCTCCTAGCTTCAGAAGCCAAGAGGCTGATTGCAGATGAGTGAAGGAAAGCTATGGGGCTAGAAATATCAAGTTAATGTATTTCAAAAGGCAATTCTTTTACCGAATTCTACTTTAAACCTTTATACACATAAATTAATTAATGATTGAAAAGCGTACGGACTACCGATTAAAATGATTTATATAATTAATATTTGATTTTTCATCTAATGAAAATATGAAATATGGAAAATGTTTTCTATAAAATAAGAACGTAGTAGATTTTATTTAAAATCACACCAAATCAATTAAACAAAAACGTACCAGTCTCAGGCTTAAAATGGTCAATGGCGTACGGAAAACTGACCTTTCCCATGGCTGTTTAATTAATAACTAATTTGAGTAAAGTAAGGAAAGTTATAATAATTTTGATTATCTTTAAAGTTATATCTTTAAAATTATATCTTTTCTGAAGAAAGATAATATTATAATAATAGATTTAATGAACCAGTAAAAGTATACGTCAAACAATTTACTATAATAAAAGAGGAAGTGATCTTTATTAATGAATTTATATAAATTTAGACCTTTAGGGGCTAGGCTAGGTCAAAGCTCTGGAGGAGAGCTCTTGTTTAGGAGGAAAAACGCGTAACGCGAGTAAGAAACTAGTTCTGGAAATAACCATATCAGTAAATATTCTGAGTTTTACGTATAGTTACGGTTCTTAGAGATACGAGTACGTACATTAAAATTTGACCAGTTAATATTGTTTAGTAGCAGCTTCTTCTGTCATTGCGTAGTAACTTCTTCAGTCGCGCTCTACATTTCTGAAGGTTGTGTTTGTGAGGCCGCACAACTTCCTCTCACTCTTCCCTGTCAACGGCAAGCTTCTGCCGGGGTGATGGTAAGACCTGTGAGGGCTTTTCCTTGATCATTCCAGCGAGTAAGAGATCGGCCTCGAGGTCTGGTGCCCTCCACTCTGCCAGTCACGATAACTTTTTCTACATTTTCTGCGTGTTACATATCCAAAAAACTCAAGATCTGTTGGTAACAAAGTGTCAAAAGAAGAGTTGTTATTTGTAACCTTACCTGACCAAGGAATATTAAACATCCGCCTCCAATACCACGTGTCCAGAGCATCTATCTTCCTCTGTATCGGTAATCTAATATTTATTGTGCGCGGGAAGAACGTCCGGCGCTACCAATTCTACGCTACATACTGTCGTTATACAAATGTGTGGTTTACATAAACCCCACCCTCCTTTCAGATGTTCGTAGGATTCAGCACCATAAAAGAAAATAGAAAATATCACACTCAAAACCAATTTATTTTTGGTTTTAAATAAATATTCTGGTCCTTCCATAAACGCAGAAATTTTGTCATTAATTATTTGGTAATCTGGGTTCTTCTTCGGATTTCACTTCCACTTCCTTCTTAACTGCTTTTGTTTTAGATAGTCCAAACTTCTCTCTTTCTATATGTACTCTCTGAATTCGTTAGGCTAGGTCATGTTCATTTAATATCACTAAGGTGGCTGATTTTTACTCCACTATTGGATACTCCATTTTCCCATCCATCTAGGGCTCTTATCGCATCATATACTTCCTATATATATTTAATAATAATAGAGATAATATGCAGCCCCACCGCACTCCTCTATCGGGCTTATTATAAATGGATTGGAAATCACATTGTTGGTACAACATATGTGCCGGTAAGGTACACATCCGATATAAGGATAATTAGGTGTTCTGGAACTCCCATTTCCAATGTTCTAATTATTTATAAGAAATTATGAAACTTTTAATCATAGGGATAACGTTTAATCACAGAGAAGAAGAATGAATCCTTAATTACTAATTACACAGGTTCTCGAACTTAAAAGGTATGTACTACTAAAATATAGATTTAAGACTATTTACTTAATAAAGAAATTTTTGATTTTGGTTGAAGATAAGTCAATATCTTTCCAAGTCTTGTAAAGAGTTAATAAAGGACATTTTCGTAGCTTATGTAACTGACAGCATAGTGAAAGAACAGAATCTAACAAAAAAAAAACTAACTAATCAGATCATATGCTATGCGTGGTCGATCGAAGCCGTCATTTAAAATGATTGGAATGTGTATTCCGTAATATTTCTCGTGATATTGGTTCATATCCCGCAACGTTATTCGCCGATTTAATTTTAAATGTAGGCCTTTGAGTGAATAGTAGGTGTTTTATATTTTATTGTAGAAGCTAGATCTCATAATTGACGTCGTGTGCGTGTGTGGGGTCGGGCTGCTGACATAGCATCCATTTTTATTATGCAAAAGAGAGCTGTCAGAGCCATTTATAATCTACGTCGTCGCGAATCTCTCAGGGAACTATTTAAAAATATTAATATTATGACATTACCTTCCCAATACATTTATGAAAATATTATGTATGTAAGAAAGAATATACATATTTTTAGTAAAATAAATGATAGACATAATTTTAGTACTAGAATACTCAACCATCTTTGGAAAATAGCTTTTTTATTTTAGAAAATAGCTCAACCATCTTTCAGATTACCCAAAGTTCAAACATCATTTATGGGGTACTGTGTTAAATGTTACAATAAAATACCTTGTGCCATTTTAGGTGGTCTAATTGAAATAAATGATTTGACTTGACCTGACGTGACGTTTGTATTGGAACCTCATAAGCCGCGGAATGTGCTTAGAGCAATGTTAGTAGATGACCATACCGATTTTTGGATATAAATAAATAATATCAACAGGATATTAGCAAGCAATCAGGAAGATAATCAGGCAACATTTTATATCGGTATCATTAAACCTTATTTAAAATATCTTATCTTCAGTAAAATAGGTAGTGGAGACCGGGTACAAAAGTAACGGCGGGTCGAAAGTAACAAATGCTCTCTAGATTCATCCAATGGGCGAAAACAGCTTCGCCGCCGTCAGGCGATAGCTGAGAGCGCCCCCCTCACTTGTAGTTAGTCGCCGCGTACTCCACGCACTGTTAGGTTGTGTGAGAGGGTACTACGTGTTTTTACAAACCAAAACTAAGTTTTTCGATATTTTGTTATTTAATGTTTACATAGTCGTAAAAGGATGGTAGTAATCTGAATGTTTGCATATCTATTTTTGATTAGATTGATTGTACATTGTTTAAATTTGTTTTTGTTTAGCACGTTCCGTTTTTAAGTTATATTTCATGTTTCAACAAAAATGAGGAAGGGTACAAAAGTAACATAGTCCTATGGGTACACAAGTAACAAACAAACCTAGCAAGATTGTTGCTCAAGGAACTGAACAAGTAGGTGCAGTAACCTCAGAACGTGGAAGATTAGTAACTGTTGCTGTTGCGATTAATGCTCAAGGAGGACACATACCTCCTTTTTCGTATTCCCATTGAAACAATTCCAAGACCTCATGATTCTTGAGGGTCCTGTTGGTTGTGCCGGAGCTGGCAATGCTAGTGGATGGATGCAGAATGCAGAACTTTTACTTTTTAAATAAATAATTGTTGATTAAACATATAATATTGTATTAATTACCAACCTCTTCGTCTTGTTACTTTCGACCTGCCTACGTGGTCGAAAGTAACAACTGACGATTTTTTTTAACTCTCTGTTATTCATATAAAACACACCATAGTAAAATAAATCGAGCTGCTAGTGTAAAGAACATAAACTGAATTTATATATGGTAATATTAATTTAATGACAATATTAAAACCTAGCCACAAATCAAATGTGAAGTACAAAGTGTTACTTTTGTACCCGGTCTCCCCTACTTATCAATGAGCTCTAGTGGCCATTTGGGCTTAATCATTTTCGCAAGGCTACATTATTCCCTACGGGTTAAGATTTAGGTATATTACATTATGGTAGGAAATATGGTAGATCAGAGAACCTCAGTACATAAAAATTAAAATAAATTATATAAAAATTAGTAAGGACGTTGAAGAGACAAAACGTGGACAGAACGTGTAAATCGCAATCCTCAAGAAAGTTGAAATTTAAGATTTAGGTTAAATTAACTACCGGCCACTAAAGAGTCTAAAGAAGACCAGCGCGTGACAGAAGTAACTGGACATTGTTATAGGACTTAGCAACGCGACACACTGGTCTACGGGACATTTTATTTCAACAAACTTAATCATAGAAATATAAACGATGATAAAAGCATTTTATAAATTTGACGAATACTTAAATGATCCCAATCCTTGGGATTGATTTGCTCCAGTTCAAACAATTTGTATGACTCAATACTTGGCGATTAAAAAGAGTGGCGGAAAGTTTCGTGCCAGTTCTTCTTACCCGCTCTACGCCCTTGACTTGCGAACTGGTAGTAAATGTAAATTTACAATTAATTTAACTTCTTTTTGTCGTTCATAAGTGTACTTGTTTACCTATATAAATAAAGATATTTTGAGTTTGAGTTTGATCTAATCTTGATTACTATTTAAGGTTACCTAAATGGTTACCCCGCATTTCTCCGTCCCAGCATGCCTTAATTCCACATAGATCAGTTAACACAAATCTCTCATCATTGGCTGACATGGTGTCTCGCGTGAGAAATTGATAAGCGGGGTCATGTGTAGTAGATTTAGTTGGATTTTCATAAAGCATTCGCTCAGGTAGATAATGACATTCTTCTCCAAAAGTTGGCCGCAATTGGATGTGGACCTGTTCTGCTTGAGTTTTTTTTCTAGCTATCTATCGAATCGTAACCAATACGTTTGATACAGACAATACATCTTGCAGTCATATCCAACAAGTTCTGCCAAGCCAGGGTTCAATTCTAGGACCGTTCTTGTTTTTGATTAAAATCAACCTTCCGAGCATTATTTAATATTCCAAAGTCCTATTAATTACCGACGATATTAAGATAATGTGGGTAATTAAGACAAACAATGACTTTCTATGTATACAACTGAATTACGACGACCTGCTTCATTGGAGTGAAAAAAATAAACTCCATATGAGCTATGACAAGTGCGAAGTGAAGACTTGCGAATTTTGTGAATAAAATACTCTACGACTATAGATAACGACACAACTAGTTAGAGGTAAGGGGGGACCTTACTTTAACATTATATTTTTTAAGGTCCTTAGAGGTAGGATAAATAATGTGGAAATGTTGGAATGACTGGGGCTGCGTGTGCCAAATAATCACACTCGGCCTGGTAAGCGGTCGCAATTGCTTGCAGTGCCTCGAGCGCGTACAAATTTACTCAGAGAAGCGCCATTTACGCGTGTCTTGCGCACTCTGAATGTTATTGCATGTGAGACGGATATATTTAGGTGCACACTGGCTGAATTCACAAGAATTGCATTATTTATAATTAGTTATATAAAGGTTTAGGTTTTTGTTTTGTT